TCCCCCCCCCCCCCCGCCCCCCCCCTTCCTTGCTCTTAGCTTTTATTGCTGAGCAGATGTCATATGGTATGGAATATACCTTTGGTCAGTGTGGGTCAGCTGTCCTGGCTATGCCCTCCCAAGATCTTGCACACCTCCAGCCTATTGGTGAGGGGGGAGTGTTGGAGAGACAACCTTGATGCTGTGCCAGCACTGCTCAGCAGTAGCCAAGACAACCGGTGTGTTATCAACACCTTTCTAGCTACCAATACAAAGCACAGCACTGTGAGGGCTGCTATGGGGAAAATTAAATCTGTCATCTCAGCCAGACCCAATACATAAGTCTGTGTGTGTTTGAATAACCCTTTGCACTGCATCTGGATGACTTAGCCTGCTATTTACTTCCAGGCTTTGCCCTTTTCCTTCCCTGTGTCCAGAGAGGATGGGAAATATGGCAACTCAAAACCTGTCTCTCTTGGGGGAGCAGACCTGCATCTTCTTTGTCGTTCTTGATGTATTTTTTTTCTGGAAAAGGAAATTCTTGTGTGTTGCTGGGGAAATATGGATGGCAAGGAGAAAATAAAGTGATCCCTGGGGGGTTTTAGTCTGTCTAAGGCTTTTCACTGGAGGCTTCTGTATTTGGTGACATAAATTAAACTTGGCCATTTGTCTTCTGCACTTACTCTGCTGTTAACTCCTCATCTCTCTATGTGGATAACAGTATCCTGTGCCAGCAAACCTTCTCTCCCTGTATTGCACAGTTTACTGGTGGTGAGGCAAAACAATTGAGCAGATCTGGGAGGCTGGCAGGGGCACACTGTCAGTCATGTGTTGAGAACAGAGTAGGAGACATGGACAGGAGGAGATGGCAGGGAAAGGTGGGGTGGCCAAGAGAACGACACTGAAAAGGGTGCAGCATCTCCTCAGCTCCAAAAGTAAGCCCCAGAGAGCCAGGAGCTGGCTTCTGAGAGGTGCTGAGCCTATCCTGGTGCCTCTTATCAGGACCCTTCTGGCAGCTGCTGCTCCATCTGCCCTGTTAGGAGAGGAGAGGGAGCCAAGGAAAGACTGGGAAGAGGGGTGTGCTGACCCACCAAACTCCTGTGCTGCTCTCCCAACTCATGCTGTGGTGTTCCCTCAACAAAGCACTCTGCCTGTCAGGGAAAACCCACCCCTTCAGGAACTGGTCTATAACTATTGTTGCTTGAAATAAAATACCACTTAAAAAATTCTCCACAAAGTGTTTGTTTTGTATTGAACTGAGCCCTTAAAGACAAGATTACATGCACACTATACTTTATGAAAATGTCTACTTGACTGTAACCATGTTACTTCAAATAATATTGGCATTTGTTGGCATTAGGAAAATAACACTCTATTGGAGTGTTTGCCGTGTGTTTTTTATCGGCTTCCACTTTCTTTTGTCTTTCCCATTTTCACTGATCTTTATTTCAAAGCTCTCCTATTTTACCTTCATTTGGTCTGCATGTGTTTTCCCTCTTTTTATCTTTCCCACATTTCAGACAGCCATCCAGTATTACAGTGATGGCTCCTCTGATTTTGAACCATGGAGAAGCCCACTGGATGGCATAAGCCCAGAAGTCATGAATCCTTGTTGTTTGGTTTTGCATTTGTTTCTCCTCCCTCTCCCTGCCAGTGCCTTTGCTAGTGACTTCCTTTCTGTATCTTGGTGTCCCTGTCAAATGGCAATGAGAATATTCATTCATCTATATCAAATACATTGAGATTGGGGCTAGGGGGCAGGTGGAAACACTTTACAAGTGCCAACAATTTATTTTTGTTTGAGACAATAGTTTTCTTGCCCAGCTTTTTATACTTTCTCAATAATAACATTTATTTAAGCCATCGAAAAATTAAAAATCACATAAAAGGCGATTGATTCTGGCAGTGCTAGACTGAGCCTAGTGTTGTCTGTGTTCTCATCAGTGTGCTTTTGACCAGTACACCTCTGTTCACTTGGAAGTCATGACTGAAATTTTAACATCTGAGTGAGGCATCCTTACCTCACTTGGTTGGTTTGTACTCTTAATATACATAACCCTTTTCCCAGTATAATTTGTCATAAGCATTCTGACTAAATTTGAATTTGGTGATCATTTGTTACTGCATGACAGTAATGTATTTTCTGGACAAATAAATTCTTTCTTTCGTTCCTTTCTCTGATGAACGATTGTATATGCTGTATAGATTTTTGTTTGGGTGCTGAGAGGATGTTTTTAATTTAGACTTATATGTTGCTATATGGCTACATGGGAGAAGGCGAGATTAGAAAAGTGCTTCTTGAATTTTGAGCAGAAGGTATGAAATTTGCAATTGTTTTGGATTCCTGTGAAAGTTCATTTATAGCCTTCAACTGTGAAACATCTGTTACCGATAAGTAAGTCTTACTAGAATGGTCATTTATGAAACCAGGTCACTGCCCACCAGGATGAATTAAGGTTCCTGTGCCTGTTAAAAACGGTTAGAATCACAGAATCATTTAGTTTGGAAAGGGCCCTCAAGATCATCAAGTCCAACCATTAACCCAGCACTGCCAAGTCCACCTCTAAACCATACAGTCATTTAGGTTGGAAAGGACCTTTAAGATCATCGAGTCCAACTGTAAACCTGGCATGGCCAAATCCACCACTAAACCATGTCCATAAGCACCACATCTACACACCTTTTAAATACCTCCAGGGATGGTGACTCCACCACTTCCCTGGGCAGCTTGACAACCCTTTCAGTGAAGAAATTTTTCCTAATATCCAATCTAAACCTCCCCTGGCTCAACTTGAGGCCATTTCCTCTTTTCCTATCACTGGTTACTTGGAGTACTTGGTCAGAAGCAGGAAGTAGAAATCTTATGCAAGTGTCTGCTAAAAATACTAAATCTTTCCGCAAAAATCAAGGGAGAAATTCCTGAAGATTTTATTAAAGTTTTGTATTTGGTTCTCCTCCTATGGAGTCTCAAGCCTAAAGCAATTGTGGTTTTCCTTCCATTGGAAAAACCAGATGGATGCTATTGGATTGCTCAATCACTGCATTATGTTTCTGACATAGTAAGAAAGTTCATTGTTTTGCTATCCTTAAAGCTGTGTGTTTCTTACAAATGGAGTGCTGTGTTTCTAAATGAATCTTTATTTAAATATTGACTGACATTCAGAGATTTCAGAATTCTTACAGAGAAACTAAGTATGATGCTTATCTTACACTTGGAAATGCAAAGAGGTAGTAATAGTGTCACAATCTACTGGTTTGTAAAGTTGCTTTGTTTTGCATCTGTTGCATAACAATGCCTACAGCATGTATCTTTATAAAAGTGTACAGTTCCGATTATAATTTTGAAAATGACTGTAAAGTTTTGGTTTTCAGTTGTAATGTAATTTAAAATTATATTGAAAGTAGCCACTGTAACACTGATGACTTTAAAGATTTTTTTTTATTTTTGGGTGTGTGGTTGTTTAAGCAAATATGCAAGTGAAGATGTAAAGTGTAGCCAATGAAGGAAAAGTGAGAGATTTAGGCTTTGTTTCTTAATAAGAAGTGAACGAAAACTCTTTCTATTAAACTCGACATATTATTCCCCCATGTTTGTTTGTTTGTTTGTTTATTTCAGGAATTTGAAGCCTTTCAAACATTTGTGGAAAATCGGCTTCCATTTGATATTGTTATTGATGGACTTAATGTTTCCCACATAAAACCCAGAAAGATGCAGTGTGAAAATGTAAGTGCTGGTTAAATATTCATTAAGAGTTTTGTGTATGCTGATTGTAAAACGAGTGCCTCATTATTACTTACCCTCTTGAGAAACTGATCAAACATTTTTGTAGACTATGTTACAGTGAAGTTCAAAGAGTTACATAGACTTCACAAATTAACAATGATCAGTGGGAAGATGGTTCTTCTTACATATTTGACTGCATTAACTGTAAAAAATCATACCTAAATTTCCTCATGTATGCAATGCTCATAGTTATAGCTAAGGTATCAATAATAACATTATTAGGACATACACTGTGAGTGTGTATGTTTTCATAGTAATAGGGATTTTGGGGAACAGACTAAATCTACCATATAGAAAATTTAGTCTAATATAGTTATGCTCGTATTAGTTCTTCTTAAAATAACACCTTACTTAATTCAAACCACATCCTGTACAAGTTTAAACTTTATTTCACTTCCTATTGTCTTACAGCATTTAAGTCCTGTTCTTACAAGGGCAGCTCAAACTGGCTTCAGTTCTTTCCACTTGGTGATTTGTAGAAGAATAATCCTGCTTTTTTACCAATACCTATTTTTGAGAATTCTTGGTGCTGCCTTTTAGCTTTTAACTAAGACATGGCTTAAGGGCTTGGAGTTTTTTTTATCAATCAAATATTTACTTTAAATTAGGAGTAACAAAGTAGCTGCTAACATGTATTCCAAAGCCAGAATTTAAATTTTCACGCTCTTGAAATTATAACTAAGTTATAAATGAGCTTGATAATAAAGGAAGGAATTTACATATAGTAATTACAAGAAATACGTTTTTATTCTAAGAAATACTTTAGAACTATTCTTAAGAAGCAGGATATGCTTTCATATATGTAGATAAAAGCAGCTGAGCTAGGGAGGTTAGATAATTTGATGAAAAACGCTTGTTTGAGAGTGGCAGTGAAGTTTCATGAGATAGTGGCTCATGAAGAGGGTACTTTCCTTACTACGAAAATAGAAAAGGAAGTTTACAAGTTGTTTGGACGGGATCAGGGAGGAAGCGTTGATTATCTGAGAAGAATCCCAGGCAGCATGTAGTGGCACAGTGTTTTAAGATCTAGAAAGATAGGTCTATGCTGCCAAAGAGGGGGAAGAGAAACGCTTGTCCTTCCTCAGTGCATGCCTGTCCCAGTGTGGGAACTCTGAACAGGATCCTAAATGGTCTGTAAAAGCTGGGGGCAATGGAGCAAAAAAGGCAGCCTGGTTTTGACGGATAATTACTACTGATTTCTGATGAGAAACCTTACTAGGAGGTATTAGCATCCTGAGCAGCATAAACTGCCTTTGAGTTCCTTGTTAGCTTTTGCTGTATTGGAAGGACTTTGGGATCCATGATGCCAGGGAGCTCTGGAAGGACTGTATGGAGGCATCAACTTTCCATTTCAGTTTTTCCATACGGATACATGTCAGATCTCTCTTGAATCCCAGATATTTACAGATCAGGAAGATTTTTAGGAAGATGGGCCTTTCCTTCCTGCATAACAGAACAGTAACTTGGACTCACCCCATCTTACCTCCCGAAGAAGATTCTCTTAGCTAAGATTTACTTGTTCTATGAGCTGTGTTGCTGTTAATTATTGTATTTTGTCATGCACAAAAAATGTTAATCATTGGAGCTTCTGCCAGTTAGTCTTTTGCTGCTTCTGTTATCTGGATCCTGTTTTGGAGAGTGGAGTCATTACATGAGATAGGAAGGACATGTCCATTACTCCTACCTTATACCTGTAGATAATTCACTGACTGGATAGTACCTTTTTTGGCATGGGAAGTGTGTATTTGCACTCTAAGCAACAAAATAGCTCCTTCGCTGCCCAAAAGAAATACTCTTCTAGACACATGAACTACTAAAGACTCTTTCCTGTATTGAATTCATTGAGGTAGTTTTAAATTATTTCTTATGATAGATACCTTTATACATGATTACAGTGTTAACTATTGAGTTTACAGTTTTTTCCAACTGGAAACATTGTTTAAATATGAGATTGTGCTGGATGCTAGCGAATCCTGTTTTATTTCTTCATGTCTCTGAACTCCTGTGTTCTAACATGTCAGGAAAGGACTGTGTCTTTGTTCTTATTTTGGATACTTCTGACAAGGAAGTATGTATTCTTGTTTTCTTACTCTTTTTTCAAGACCACTAAAAACAGAAAGAAAAAAAAAAACACCAAATCCACAAAGCAGAGCAATCCTTTCTTCTGTGTCCAAACTTTTCTTCCAGATGACGGAAGGGAAGGCCACAGGAATCTCTGCATGTGTTGCTTTCCTGCATTGCTGGCATTGCTGCCAAGTAGTCCCCCATCTGCGAATACTGACCTCTCTGAATTGCTGTAGTCTGTCCTTTGAGGGCTGACTGCCACAAAACATTCTCTTTTGGAGGCTGCTCTCCTCACGCCAGAGGCAGTTGAATGGAAAATGTGGAGTGGCAGGTCTGGGGCATTCACAGCCTGCCTTACTAAACTCTTCAAGGTACATAGGCAAACATAGTGCAGAACTGAGAGGACGGGGAGGAGAAATAAATGCAAAAGAAGCTGGAGGCAGAGCGCAAAGGATGGAAAAGCTTAAGAGTGCAGGCTGCTGAGGTCAACCTAGCTGGCTAGGACGGTGTGACTGGCCCGTTTTGAAGAAGAGAGGCATGCTGTGACTCTTTAGTGACCTCCTCTGTTCGACCTGAGAGGTAGTAAAGGAGCAGTATTTCCAAGGACCTGTGTTAAAAGCTGCGCAGCCCGTGTTTTTCGTGTCAAGCTAAATTATTGTAAGTCTCCAAGTGGGATTCAGTCTGTGCTCTTTTCAGGGGTTCATTACTGCAGCTGTTAGACCCAGTCCCCGTGTTGTTTTACAAATTTTTCTGTTCCAGCGTATAGTTAGTATGCGGCAATGGTTGAACGAGAAAATGAGATTGTTGCTCTCCATTTATGACACACTGTAAGCATTACTGTGTGCAAATTGTTAGGTTTTTTGGACGATGTCTCTTAATATGGTTTAGAGACAATAGCAAAATAAAGGACATTGTTAATCACAGGAGAAGACCTAAGATTTATGTGACAATAATATGGTAATTTAAATGCATTCTGGTCTTTATTTAAATTTAACAAAAAATACTGTTCTGCTTGGTGATTTAGCTTTAAGAACTATAACTGTTTTGCTGAAGACCAACTCTAGCTAACTCTTAGTTGTAAGAAAACATTGATACAGTATTCCTTTCTTTTCTCAAACATCCTGACATTTGTAATTCCATTTAGGCATTCCTCAGGCATCTTGGGAAAGGGTTGGGTTGTGTGGACAAGGCAAGAGTACCTTGAGGGATGAGAAGAGAAGGAAAAAAAGCAGGAGTAGAAGGAATGATTTTTACTCATTTAATTCCCAAAGTGTTCTGACATTCTGGAAAACTAGATATGTGACTTCTGGTAGCCCCAGGCAACTTCAGTCCTCACAGCCAGCACTTACTTAGTAGATCGTCATGAATATTGACTTGGCAGATTTACAGGAATATTCTGTAGCAGTTTCTCTAGTATATGACACTGTCGGTTTGTAATTACAATCCCTGTTTTTTTCCAGGGTGGTTTTATACTAGGTCTGTTTCCTGGTACAAATCACCATGTGGCTGCATCAGTTACTGACAAAAAGAGGAGGTAGCACAAGGGTGGAAACAAAGATTTTTGAGAGAGATCATCTGATTTGAAGGCACTGCACACACAGTGACTGTAAAACTGCAACACTGGACATTAGCCAGCACCTCTTTTCAACCCTTTGCTTCCTTACTGCAGCATTTTAAATTAGACATTAAAGTTGACTCCTAATTAAAAGATATTATAGAATGGAAATTATTTTTGCTATATAATCCAGACAATAGAAACAATCTCCCATAAAGTCTAAAATCATTCAATTTCATGTTTTTCCAGTTTGTTTTTGCATTCTGCTGCTGTTTAAGACTGTACCTGATGCGTATTTGCCTTGATGAGTCAGTCACTGTTTGTACTGCAAACATGGTAGTTTGTAAACTGACATATCCTTACAGTTTAACTAAGCAAAGTTGATTCAGGCTGTATTATGACACTGAGTTAATCCTTTCTTCCAGATGTATCTAATTACATAAATCCTTAGCCAGCACAATGGCATTTGGTACTCCATGTCCTCTTCTGCTGTAACTCCCCGTAGTGCCCCCACCTTTCACCTTGTAAAGGTCAAGAGAGGGAATTTCCACATGCTGATTGTCGGGTTCTTTTATTAAACACAAACTGTTACATAATTCTTAAATGTATTTTTTCCTGTTTATCACAATTTTCTGCAGAAATATTCCATGGAAGTGAGGGGGAATCCAAGTGCAATCAGGATATCTAGGCTCTGGAGCATCTCACTTTGCTTGTGAGAGAGAAGGGACTCCAATGAGCTATGCTCCAGCTACCCCTTGACTGTGAAGGGCCGGGGTGGGGGACAGGAGAGGGGTGAGGGAGCGCAATCGGCAAGTGGAATTTAAAGAGTACTCTGCTATTTTTAATTTACATTGGGATTGGTATATTGTAAATGAGGTATACAGCCAGCTCCTTTTTTAGCTGTACCCATCTGGTGTTAGACGTAACTGAATATGTATTTCAAATGTGTGTTGGATCAAAGCTAACTCACAATTCCCTTCTTCAAACAGTTTGGCAGTTGGGGTCAGCTCTGCCCTAACTTTACCCTCTCTAATCTCTGTATTAAACTCAGACATCTAAAAGATTGGTAAAATAGTTCCAGATTGAGTTCCTTAAGACTGACAGTGCACAAAGGAATAGTTTTTGCTCTTGGCAGATAGTTCAAAGTGGTTGCTCCCAAACTTAATTGGCATTTCTATAAATGGGCTACATAAGTTCATATAATTCCCATGTAAATTGCAGTAGGCCTGTACAACAGCTGACGAAGCCAGATCCTTGCTGCTCCCCTCCCATCCCATCCCAGTCCGGTGGCAGCAGCTGGCATGCCACCCCTACTGCACCT